TTTTCATCAGTTTGAACTTTAAAGACTAAACACAAAGTTGGGTTAGCTTGGGTGGCGGTCGGACTCTTAGTAATCATTTCTGGATGTTCTGATGTTACTTGCCTCCTTTTTACTTTTTTTCACCGTCCGATCGGCTGATTGGTCGATTAGAGTCTGATGCATAGATTTGGATGTTTATATTTTTTCAGGTTTATTGACTTATATTTCATATGTCAGTATGTAATTTGTATGCAATGAATCAGTGCTCAACTGTTTATTAAAAAATGAAATGTTATCAGCCATAGTTTTATGACATAAACCGACAAGATGGCAGAGGGAGATAACTCAGTCTCTGATGATGACTTGAATCAGCAGAAAGGTGAATCTGGTAAGATATTATTGACAATCTGAACATAAATAGTTGGATTAAAATTGAGATTTTTATTGTTTACATTTTACCAGTTTGTAATCTCTTGGCACCAGTCAACCAGTTGGTTTAATAATGTTTTTTAATGGTCCTGTTAGAATGAAAAGTCATATTGGCACTACCTTACCCCATATAATTTACACGCTTGGAAGTGGGTGCCATATACAGATATAGCATATGGCTATCTATCATGCTGATCAAAAATGTGATTTTATAATTTATACCTGTATCATTATTTGTTTGTTGGCGAGCTTCAACAGTTCAAACACAGAAACAGTCAAAAGGGTGGTAAAATTACTCCAAGTTGGTACCTACTGTAAGCCTCCGTCTGATTGTATTGTAATATATAATACTGTAATATGTAGCGTTTTATATCTAGTTCATTTATACCAGTATGTAGAATTGTTATCCTCGAAAGTTGCAGGTGCGTAATACATCACCATGAATTTTAATGGTTTCAGTAGCTCTTCGCATTTCAGTAGTTGTGCATGACCTTGTTTTGAACGAATTTCCTTAAAAAATTACAGGAAATGGGATAAATTGCATTTGGTATTTATGCTTTTCAAGCTATCCATATCTACTGCTCCAGCAGTTCTCAAACTTTTTCTTCGTGCTGCGCCAAACTTTTAGGGAAAAAACGCATGGCACACTTACACGAGAAAAATCAATTTTGTGATCGATAATGTGTCTGAATTTTATGTCTTGCAAAGTTTGTAAACATGTAGGTCTAAGGAATAAAAGCAAAAGGTTAACTCTTTTTTTTCCATCTTGCCTGATTTTACATTGAAATGCTAAAAAATAATTCATGTTCTCTAAACTCGGTTCAGCAGATAAATAAACTGCAGCTCACGAAATTGCATCGAGTGGTGTATTGTTACATAACAGTAGAGACAGACATTATGTAACAAAAATTAAACAACATAAAAAGTGAAAAGAATTTATTGATTCAAATACACAGCATTCAAAATAAGAAACAATAAAACAGTTATAATAATTACAATATGTAAAATATTTAATTATATTTCAGTTATGTCCAATACAATTTTCGCGGCGTACCCTTCGAGAACCGCTGTACTACAATATTAATTTCTTCATTGGTTTATTCAGGCTTCTTTGATCAGAGGCCGCTCTTCCTGTTATTTTCCCAATGCTTTGTAATTTTGAGATTAATTATGATTTTTATTTTTTACAACAGGTACAATAAGAGAAGGGACTGCACGAGTACACATGAAACTTTTCCCAAAATATGGTTTCCTTGTTCCTGATAATCCACTCTCCATGGGTGACACAATCTTTTTTGGCCTGACAGCTCATGTAGATGCTTCAAAAAAGTATATTGCAGATCTTCGTGAAGAGCTCTACCCTGATCAAAAAGTAAAATTCATGGCTGTACCCGTTGAACGCGATGGTTCTATAAAATGGAAGGTAGATATTTGTCTCACACAAAAATAGGATAGGATTTTTATTTTCTCTCCGGGAGCGAGGAGTCCAGCAATCCTTTTGTACATATTATCACTCATGGGATTTGTACCAGCGAACCCACACAAGATGATCGGAGGTGCGGTGAGCATATTCCTAACGCTTACGGTAGCATGATACGCCACCAATACTTACCTAGTTTATATCTACAGTTAGCCTTTGGTGCAAAAATACTGCGCAACAACTTTGTTGTTGTTTAAATTAACTTAGTTAAATTCATAATCTGCTTTATCATACTTTGTTGGCAGTCTTGGCCCATCACATTAATTTGGGCGTTTTATGCAAGACTTGTCCTAGGCGCAGGAATTTGAATGGGAAGTCTAAAACATATTTGGGACATTCTAAGTAAATGATGTCGGAAATTAATTTTGTGAATAATCCAGTGTTTTTCAACCTATGGGTCGTGAGTTCAAAGCTGCGTGGCCTAAAAATCCATTTTGGTCGCCTGTTTGTCATCAAAAAGTTATTGAATTTATTTTCTAGGTAATATAAATGTATATTTTGTAATTGAAATTGAATTGTTACTCAGGTATAATTGGATATGTGAGAAAAATATTAAATCGGAAAAGCTTGTTGTGAACGTTAAAACTGATTCAATTGAACAGGTTCCTCTTGCAATTTTTATTTTTCAACCGAAATTAAATGATATTGACACGTCACACCACTTTACTTACGTTAAGTGAACTCAATAATTTTTGGAAATTCGAACCAATTTTTAGTCTCCGATTATCTCTGACAATTCCACGTGTCCCCGAAGCTCTAAGTTATTTATTTATTATTCATTTTCAGGCATTGGTGGTTGGTCCTTTACCTGATGACCAACAGGATGTTCCCAGAATTATAGGTATGTGTTATTGCTTCTATTTATTTTTTTTGTTTGTCTTTTGTGCCATTATACTTTATATTTAGAGGAGGAAGGAGAGGAAGATGGTCAAATCTGGTTAACTTGTCGAATTCATCCAAATTTACAGCCAACACATGGTTTTGCTACTCCAGAAGGTGGAAATCAATATCATGACAATGTTTATTTTAGTTTACGTGAGGTAAATTCAAATTTAATTTTTTTTTTTATTGTAATTTTCTTTTATGTCCCAACATTCACTTTTGTAGGCATGTTTATTGTTTTTCCCAAAATATACACAGTATATCTTGGCATTTCAGTATTCACATGCAAAAATCCCCTTCATTTTCGAGTGAGTGTCGTGACCTTGCCCTGAGCAATCGTCTTATAAAAATATAGGCTTATATACATTATGAGTTAACAAATAAGGAATACATGCACAAATATTTAATTGTATTATAGAATGAACTATTACATCTATTTTTTTGTAACAAAACAATATTAATGGCAATTAGAAATTTCATTCACAATACGTGTCAAATGATATCAATATTTAACTAATTTCATAAAATAATAAATACTCACAGTTTTACTCACACTCACACTAAATACTCAGTTTTTATTCTGCCAAGTGTGGTGTTTTGGTTTTGCAAACTCAGAGCTACTGCTCAGACTTATTTTTCCCAATGACTCGCAAAGGCTATCGGGACTGCTTTGGACCGCCGTGTCCATATATTTGGGCTTTGCTCTTGCTCTCTTGTTAAGTACCGGTAATAATTTTATCAGTTTAGATTTTTTGTGTGGCCCTTCAATTCTCAACTGCAATGAAATAGGGTCTTGAATTTCGTTTCTTCAGGCAACTGACGGTCTTGAAGTCTCCGTTTCTGATTTGACTTCCGTATTTTCTGCCGGAGAAAGAATCAAAGCCCTTTGTGTGTCTGCTGATCCTCAATTCAAAGCTAAATACAGAGCATTAAAAGTTTGCAAAATTCCGGAGTCTGCAGATGCTGATTCGGTATGTATGGGTTTGAAAAATAGATCTGAAAAATATTCACAAATCCTATTTACTGTCAACTGTTTTAATAATCTTTAAAACTGTCTATGCATGTATGAAAGTTTTGTAGTTCTACTCTATGATAGGATTTACAAGTTTATCCCACTGGAGAGGAAATACTATTAGACAGCATAATCATATGGCTGACCTATGGCCTCTCATCCAGTTACTAGTCCATGTAGGCTCTATCATTATTTGATACTGGTATTATTCTTCTTTTTTGCCTATAGTTTGCAGGCAATTCATATGTGTGACTGTGTCAATCTAATTGGAAAGTCAACCAGCTGTAATAAACTTTCTGCTTGATCAAATTTATACAGTAATTTGTTTCCAAATTTTTATCATGAACATCGAATATTTAATATCACAATGTTTGATTATTTAATATTTGTTCTCCTTTATAGACTGCAAATAGTGATACTCCCGTTTCCAAGAATTCTGCTGAAGATTGTTTGCTGGTCGAAGAAACTGATCAAAGCGCAGTGTCATGGATATATGAAGTTCTTAAAAGCAAAGATAAAATCAAATTGACAAGCCTAGCAGGAGATTTAAGTCACAATCCCGATATTCGTTCTGTGGTACAACCCCAAAAGAAATCTCTAAAGCGTTTCCTTGCAAAGTATCCACGTTTCTTCACTATTAAAGAAGATATAGTCAGCCTCGCTCCAAATTGCCCGCCAATTAACTTCAAACCAGTCAGAAAATCAAGTGATACATTTCCCAGAGATGAGTATGTTCTTAACAAAAATTGGTCTTCTGAAGACGAGTCTCTCAACAGCCCTAGTGCATCTGAGAGTATACCATCTGGCATGTCATCACCTATATTATATACAACACATAATTTAAAAACATTGGCGGATTCTTCGTCTCGCTTTACCATGAGCATGCTGGCAAATATAGTCAAGTCTTTGCCAGAACCAATGAAGATGTCTGAAATTTTTAAACACTGTCAAAAGCAAGGTTGGGAAGGAATGAGAAGTATGGCAATGCTGGCACAAGTCGTTTCCGACAATCCAACCTATTTTTGCCAGGATGAGAAAGGATGCTTGTTAGTTACTGCAGAAGGAAAAAATCTCTCTGTCAAACAAGCTGATGTTAATAATATTAAGACGACAAAAAGTTCCGTAAATGGTACTAACCATCCATTAACAAGTTCTATAATCGTCAGTGCTCCCAATGTTGAAACTACAATAGGTCAAGGACCGCTTGGAAGCTTTAACCACTCTTCAACTGCATCTGCATTTTCAATCTTCTCTCCACTATCGCCTCCAAAGCCTCAAGAGTCATCTTCATCACTGATAACACCTAGTTTAGGATTTGGAACATCTGCCTTCAACCATACTCAGTCAAATGTAGGAATAAATCGAAAAGCATACATGCCTATTAGCACCAATTTTCTTGGTCTGACTCCATCATATCAGGTATAAATTAAAGGATTCTTTATTCCCATCTCATTCTCTTCTTGGTTAAATGATAGCTGGTAACAAAGGTAGCAAAAAGGTTTCATATTTTGTCCGTAACTGTAATTAAAATTTTTTTGTTCAACTCTTTCAGTGTTAAATGTAAGACTATAGCTAGATTCCATTTTCAGTGTTGGAAAATATGTACTGTTTTGCTAAATTGTTGTTAAAGCAATAAATTGCCTGAAAATAGTGCTCTAATCACTCTCAATTCTTTGATATTTAAAGTATATTTGATAGGATATTTCGGTGTCACTTTGGTTTGCGATCGCACTTGCTCAAAACATGATCTCAATCACATACCAGGTGTTGCCACTTCGGTATGATTTTAATCTCTCAATGAATTCCAAACCTTATCCTAACTGAGATCACACCTTGTTGAGATTGCTTACTAAAATAGCATCGATATTTTCTTTATATTCTCTAGTCACATTTCTTCCAAGCTTGTTTGGGTTTGATCTTTTTGTTCCCAAATTGTCTTGTTTTAAATTCTCACCTCTTAGTCTCACTGATCATTTTTGGTGAGCTAGTGGTGATGGTGTGAAGACACAGTGACAGTACGTTGAGCACCCCTCTCCTTTTATTTTTAGGCTGACAGATCCAAATCCACAGCAAGTAATAATTTTGGAAATAATTCATTTCCTTCAAGTCATGTTTTACCTGTCGCCCATACTTCTTCAACTACTTCCTTGACAGGACTCAGTAATGGTTATGTAAGTTTATTTTGTTTGAAAATGTGGATTCGATAACTATTAATCATAAGCTCAGATATATTTATTATTATGAGTTATTTCAGATCAAATGATCACAATAGAGTATCTGACATACAAATGTTCTCCATTTGCTATAAAAAATTATTGTCATTTTCTGAATGCACAACGTATTAATTCAATATATTTTGTTCAAGAAAAAAACTATAATGTAAATAGAAAAATTTTTGGCGTTCACAGAAGTGGACCACGTTGAGAAACACTGCTTTACACTACTCACCTATGTAAAATCATATTTAGGTATCTTTTCAATATTTTCGGACATTCGTGAGAAGTGGAAAAAACAGTGGGAAGCATTCATAATTTTCTTTATTACCTTGCTGTTGCTGATAATTTGCATCACAAATTACATTTACCAGATTTATCACAGTGACAATGAAGACTTATTAGATGACAAATTCAGATCTCCAAAATCAGTGACATCTGCGAGTCATTATAATGAAGAGGAGAGTCAATTTTTGTCCGTGGTCGCTCGAGGAATTTGTCCTCACGCTGTGGGTGGAGGTGAAGAGGTTTTTAAAATGCTGAAAAAAGAGCTCGAAGCACTGGGGATATCATTGTCAGACAACGAGGGAGGAAACACAAGCGGTACACTGTCACGTCATCTATTATGTTTGGAAATGGATGTGGGAAAGAAACCAAGAGCAAAGTAAACAGAATATGATGGAATTTATATATTTTACTTTATATGGGGGAAAGGAAAATGTGATTGATATTGATATATTATATTTTCTAGGTTCCAGTCTTTCACACCAAGTGGAAAAATCAGCAAAACAACTGTGACATTATTGTCAGCTCAAAGAATAAGTGAGGCTGCTCTAGCTAATATGCTTACCTTGTCACAAGCAAATGTTAACATAACAAGAGTTGGAAGACTTCTATATGGCATAAACAAAGCTTATCATTGTATAAGGTAGAACACTTCCTATTTCATTACTAAAGATGCATTTGTACAAGTGATATGCTTGTCATTGTATGGTATTGAAGCCGGACATTCAAAAATAAAACTCTTTGTTTTAACCATAGTGAATTTTGGGTATTCCTGTAGTGTGTGTACCATACCAGGTTAGGGTTAGGCCATAATTTGATTTTGATTTTCCTTATTTCAGTTCTATTGCGAGTTTGGGGACTGTCTGTGTTATACAAGTGAATATACCCATAGGTTTCAGTCCCTTTACACAACTTAATGTAAAATAGGCGAACAAAATTAGTCACCTCCGTAACTGAGTGAAATGCTTCCTGCTCTAAATTCTTGCAGAGTCTGATATTTCACTGCAAAATTCGCTGTTTTTCACAAATCCCTGGCATACTTTCACAGCATTTAGGACAGTACTTCTAACATTTGACTGGAAGTTTGCTGGCATTGTGATCTTCATTTGGCCTTTGTGTGAATATATTTGAGTACTTGTCCATTGTTTTCAAATAATTCTTTACTTTTTAAGAAAAAATATTATAATTTCGAATACCAATTATTTCAATTATTATTTACAATATTACAGATTTTTATAGAAATATATTCCTGCTTTTCTTTTCAGAATGCTAACAAATGGTATTGATGAGATTTCTGGCTGTACTGTAAGTTTCAAGAACCAAGATGCCCCCGATATCAGAATGTCTGATCATTTGCAACTTGGAGAAAAGGGAAAAGTGAAAATAATATTGAGTCACAGTAGTCAGGGTACAACCTCAAGTGCTGCTTGTGCATCATTGAGAAAACATGCTATCGAAAAATGTGTGAATTCAACTGTTGTTGTAGTAGACTTGGAGGGCCAGGTTTGTGCATTCTACTGATATATATACCCTCTCCTTACAAAAATATTTTCAGGGTCTTTGTGTGTTATTTTTCTTAACATTAGCTTTGACTGACGTGATCATATCAGTCAACTAGCCTTCATGCACATACATTATCTTGTTTTGCAGATTAAAGTAAAACCGACTCTTTTCATTTGTCCGAATTAGCTTTTTTATTATTATGCAGTTCTTTTATACTCGAACTTTACTTTGTGCGGTATGCATAACATCATGTTATTTTCTTTTCTTCAGATTTTTGGATTTGGCTGTCATACTTCTGAAGTTCGTCGCATGATTTGTGGAAGCTTAGACATGCAGCAACGACATTTAAAGGAAACTGTTCATCATCATCCAAATTTAGTTGTTGCAAATTCTATCGATTGTGTCGAATCTTTAAAATTATTGAAGCGAATAAATGCTAAAGGTAAGTAGCAGATGTCTGAATGGTAATACTGGTAATTATGAATGTGGCTTTAGAAAGGATAGAATGGAATTTACATATTTATCTCGGGGAGTGGAAAGTCGATAAGGCGCCTTAATCATATGATGAGCCACGGCCTCTCGTCTTGTTACCAGTCCATGTTGGGTATGAGATTAGTTAGCCAGTTATTTGTTTCCGGCTTGATGTTGGAGGAAGACCTGCAGTTATGTAACTGACCTGCAGTTACGTGAACCTTCCTATAGCGGCGAAAAGTACAGCAATCCTCTTGCACATAATTATCGTCCGATGGCTGAAATAAAGATTTATGCTCTGTTCTGAAAAAACATATTTTCATTTTCTAACCTGATATTCAGGCTCGACGTAACATCTGCTTAAATATTGCATATGCATAGCACTGTTCTTCATTTTCCAGATCAACCAATTTAAGTCTATATTCCACTAATTTCTCACTTGTTATTGTCATTTCTAGTACCCTCGTGTTGTGTACTTGTGTGCGCAATTTTTACAATATTTTCGTTTCAGGCTTATAGATATAAAAATATATTTTCTCACTAAATTTTACCTTCTCTCGTAAAACATAATATTGATAAATCTGAGTTGTTAATTTAAGATTAGTTAGATTACCTAATCGAGCATCCAGCTACCACATCCACACAATAGCTGTGTGCCCACACAATGTGCTCCCACTAAGTAATTCATTTCTATTTAGGAATTTCCATATATGCAGAGGTCACCAAATCATTGGAAAAAACTGTGAGAAATATATTTAATGATTGTACATAAAGAAGCAAGTATTTAATTCTTTTGTCTTTAGCAAATTTATCATCTGCCACTGTCCGTACCTATTAACAAAAAGTAGATATCAATTTACATGGATGAATTATGAAATGTGTATGTAATGTATATAATGCTATTTACCAGACAAAATTATTTATTTCTTAATAAACTCAATTTTAATAAAGCATTCATATTAAATTATGTTTGAACTGAAACTTGTCATATGCTCAGTTTATTTCTTTCACACAAATAATAACATGCTTTTTAAAATTCCCCCCTTTAAAAAATTTAATCTAACTTAACACAATATAAATTCAATTTAATCACTTAATAATTTTTTATGCAATATAATCTTTCATTGAACATAATGAATAATGACTACATATTATATATTCCTTTAAATTTAAAATAATGAAACATACGATAGATTACATTTCATTTAGATGTTCTTCAAGTTCCAGAATATTTTAATTTATTTAGTCAGCCATATAATTTATAATGTTCAAATATACTCACTTTGCACCACCATAAATGTATATAGTAGATTCGGTGGTAGCCCGCAACTTTGCTCGGAGATGAGTCTCTTTTACCTCTGAGTGAGTGTGCATAACTGTGCTTTGAGAAAATTACTATGAAAAATAAATTTATTTTTGATTTGTAGAATTATTACAGTGTTGTACACTCCATAGAACCAAAATTGTCAGTTTTAGTTACATACTTCCATATTTTCAATTGTTTTACTTTGAAGTTTTTTTAACTACAATATATGACCTTTTTTGAGTTATTCATAAATAAAAATTGAATGAAACCGGTATTCTGAAATGTAAGGTCTTTGTGCTATTTATCATTTTTTCCCAAACTAAAAACTATTTGTGACAAATCTACATGCTCTGAATTTGCTGTATTTATTTGTTCCATGGTTTGTTTCTACTCAACCAGCAGTGCATTTTTTCTGATAGGAAAAGAATACTATGAAAATATATGTTTGTGAACGTCATGTAGATATTAGTATACTATAGCAAATGCTCGCATCATTATAGTATATATTCAGTATACTTTTCCTTGATGAGTGCAAATGGATGAGTGCAAATGACACTAACTACAGCTTTTTAAATTTAAAATAGTTGAAATATTTCTTGAGATAATAAGTCAAGTATGTGATTGTATATAATATATTTAAAGAGGATATTGGTATTCAATAGGAATCTGTCATTAGCTTTGTCTTGACGGATATTTCGTCCTGTATTGGACAGAATCATGACTAAGACAAGTGTGTTTGTGTTCAACAGCTTGCCAACGAGGGCTCAACAACAACCATTCCAAAATGCTTGCACTTTATTACTATTTACTTACATACATACAAATAATTGTTGAATTCATGAGGCTTACTTCAAGTCAGTTACTGAAAAAATGGTCTTAGATATTTTAGTCTTTGTAAATAGAGAGCCGCAGTTTGAAAGCCCAAATTATTAATTACTTGTTAGAAGAAGCTTGTTTGTATCTGCCTTCCACTCATTGTCTGTTTGTACCAAAGGCTTTCAAAATTTACTCTTTTGTTGTAATCCTAATGGATGTTGTACGATATTGTATATTAGTATAATTGTGTTGTAGACTTGTAGTAGAACATCAAATTTCATTTGTGAATATCGCAATTTTTTTATATTGATGTAGCAAGAGATTAAAAATATTGTATATATGAATTATTACTCTGATATCATAGATAATAAGAGTACCCAAGAATGCTATAAATCGAATGTATTATTATTATTAACATATAATATTGTGCGCAAAGAATGTGAAATGTAATTTAAAGTGTAAAATGAGAATATATATGCAATTTGCCTGTTGTGGTTATGAAAATATATCCATAGCAAACACTAGAAAATGAAGATGGTAATGTATTTGAATGGTTCACTTTTATAGAATTCCTAGTGATATTTGCATTTCTGTTGAGTATTTTAAAAGTTATCCACTAGATCACACAACTATGGATCTTGAAATCATATCATTTTGTGATATTCGAGGTAGTCCAGTTTCGGTTGAATCAGCTTTGCTTTACAAGAAGAAACAAGTAAAAAAAATTTTGATTGTGAAGTCCAATAAATATCTGAATGTTTGGTTATATTGGTCAAGAGGCAATACCAAGTTTAGTTTATAATATTTCCCTAATTTGAGTGATTGAAGAAATGATCTTCTACTATCTGTTCAATGTTATCAGCAAAGTGTTCATTGTTATGTATGAAATGAATGATTATGTAAAATAAATTCTCAATGATGGTACAAAGGTGTTGCTCTTCCTACCAAGGTCAGAGAAATCGAGTCAACTTTTTCATAGAGTTGATGTGACTCTTAGTAATCTAAACCAGTGATTCTTAAAGCGAGCGATATCACCCCTTTTGGGGCGAAAGACACAGTAGGGGTGGACGCGTATTTTGGAAAACATCGTATTATCAATAAACCCTCATGAATCTTATTTGGTATGCATCAAATCTGATTCAAACGAAACGATTGAAACTCTAGTGTAGATTCTAATAGCAACAAAGCGCGTCACACCGCCGGCGAATTTGTCAATAAATTGCTGGTTTATTGTTATTAGATTTACAAATACGTCAAGTAATAATCCACGTTTATATTTTAATTTGACTTTGGACTAGCTGATGGCCGATTAGTAACAGTGGGTTCACCGGTGTAATCATCCCGGGATGCTCACTAATATATTCGGTTTGTAATACCATTGAACTAGCATTAGCAAATTAAAAGCTTGGTTTGTTCACATGTTTGGTTGTACCCTGGTTTGCTGTCTTTTTTTCATTACTGAAATAAGTTCGGAACACTGTTGTAAGGTTATGAGTTATGACGTCGGCAATATCTGGCATTTGACGAACAAAAAAATTGAGTTCAAAATAACTACAAATACCCTCTCAACTAAGGCAAACAACTATATAGGTATCGTTTCAATATTCCCGAGTAGCGGGCTTAAAACAATGACAAACCTTCGCTGTTTGTATGGCGGACTTTCCAAATAAATATCGTATATATTATATATGAGATTTAATTTCACACTTTTCGCGAATTGGAGGATCCCGTTTGACAGCATAATCGTGTGGTGATTAGCGACCTCCTGTCTGTTCACGAAGCCGAGACTTGTGTGACATTATCTAACCATTTCGATGTCCATATGGGTAGAAGCGGAAGCGTTAAAATGAACTGAACGGTTCAAAATAAACAAAATTATATAATAACACGCGCGATGTTCTTCAAATCGGCGGATGTGCATTGGTACCGTAAGTGAGTCATAAAACCACCACCGTCAGCATACGTGACCCACATCATTGTAACAAACAAGTATTAGAATACAGCACACAATCTTCATGCAACAAGATGTATTAGGAGTTACAATTTTAATTTACAACACTGAGAAAGGTAAGGGTTTCATATATTACTAATGACTGTAACATATTATGAAAACTGAAGGCTAGGCAACTGCAACTTGTGACTTTACGTTACATAATAATAAAAACAAAAAACATTCTAAAATGTCGAGGTCTGAACAAACATTCCTGTCATTGAACATGCATGGTTGCATTTGAGTCCTGTCATTTTGGGTTCAAGGCAAGAGGTAGTTTCATTGTGTTCGCACCGATAATAATAAGTAACGGGAATTTATTTTCTAAATGAAAGTATTTCGAAATTTTTACACATAGACTGCAGACCATGAAAAAGTTTATCGTTACCAAGTTATTCCAGTAGCAAGGAGCCTTTGAATGAGTTTTGATAATACTCGGAAAAGGAATTGTATATCTTCAAGGCAGAACGCTTCCTGCACAAACCATAAATAAATATAATCAAAATAACGTACCATCTCTATAAATTCGATTGTTCTGGAGTTATGGTATTAATTTTTAACAGGACACTTTATCTCATAATCGAATGAACGTCAGACTTATAGTAAATATCAATTAGCGCTTTATATAGATGGTTTTTAGATTAAAGGCTTCTTTTGTGTTTATATATATACATACATTGTTCAGCATGGTCTGTAAAATTTCACGATAAATTTGATCACGGAATTCATTGCAACATTAGCATATTCATCACTGGTTCGAGTGCCGGTAGGCTATGCTTGCTCATTTATTTGTTATTTCGGTTCCTTTTGATGAAACTAGCATCGATTGAAGTCGAACTCTCTTCTTCCATACAACATCTACAATATTCGAATACATTAATGGATTGAGAACACTGTTTATAGGCAAAATAATGATAGCTGTAGCAGCATAAATTTCAGCCCTCGCCTTTATTGCGCCGGTAAAATTTAATAACGCTATGATACACAACGGCATCCAACAACAAAAATCACTGGCAACAAGGCGTATGATTTTCTTCTGCATACTCGAACTTCTATCAGCAGTACTTCTAATTTTACTTTTCTTATTAGACTTTCTATAAATGGCGATGTAAGCAAGCATTATATAGATGAAAATGAAGAAGTTTACTATCACGATCGTGAATGAATATCCCCACATCATTTCTTTTGTTGTAACATAGAAGTTCGGTAAACAAACGCTCTCCTGGGAGTAGTATCCATAAAATCCACGAATGCGATGAGCGGGGAAATTTTGCTGCAGGTGATAATTAAGTTTACTCCAGTCTTTTGGCAAATTAGTATTAGATGCGTTTGGAGAAAATGCGGTGAGAAGCGTTGCAAATTGTCTCACTCCGTTGAGGTGAACAGTGCGGGATGAAATGAACTTCGAAGGGATGAATGCTCCATAAGTAAAGGCTTCTCGCATATGAGAGGAAAATGGTATAAGACCTATGAATAAAGCAATACCCCAGGCTAGAGCTATTGCAATCGCCGCCCATTTAACTTTTATACTCCGTACCGTGAGGGGATTATGCACAGAGACAAGCCTGATCGTTGTAAGTAATGTTAGCATAAATACAGATGCTTCCGAGGATATGATGGAGATTGCACCGAGCCACACACAGGCATTACTTGTTCGCCATTGAACATCGTGTCTACAATATGCACCGGCAACTGTACTGTTTTTTACAGCTATCCCAAGAAGATAGATAGCCATTAACAAATCGGCTATGGCAAGATTAAATAGAATCAGATGATTGCATTTTAGTAAACCTTCAGCCTTATGTATTCTATCATAATCTCTGATTTTATCAATAATCATATAGCTGTTTCCAAATATACAACAGAACCCGACAAACCAAACCCAAAATTGAAAGAACGGCGATGCAATCAAATACGCTCTTGATCCAATGGGTTCGTTGTCTAGATCTCTCGGACATTCGTCAGCACCTTCGTGGCAGTCTTGCACTCCATCTCCTACAAACCTGTTTGGGACTGATAGAGGAGTTCCTTCCTCGCATTGGTACCTTGAAGTGCAGTTGTCTTCATCGCTTCCGTCGTCACAATCTTCATACCCGTTACATTTTAGAACGTTATCAATACTGATTAGACTTCCACTCTGGCAATAAAATCTACCTGGACAATTAGTTTCTTCTTCTGGGATACGTGGATTACAAGAAGACCATTGGCCATCACATATGTGCTCAACAGTAAGGTTAAATGTACCCGTACTTGTATTACATTCTCGAATAAACGCAACAGTAGAAAAACCTAAATAGCAAAAATCCGATGTTGTGTTTGTTTTATTTACGCACTCAAGATTACACTCGTCCGATAGATCGTAACACTCCGGTCGTCCATCGCAAAGCCTTGCCAATGTTCGAGTTGAGTTATCTACATCGCCCGCACATCGCATAATCCGACGAGATGAATGAGTACTGCAGTATTTTTCGTCCATCCTGTCTTTGCAATCTAGCCTTCCATCACATATTTTGTCGGTGGTTAACTCAGTAGTAATATCACAGACAAAAGTCCCCAAAGTACAATTGGTTGTTCCCCACTCTTCTTCTCGTGTACAATAGCGCGAACAAAATTCTTCATTACGATTTTCGCACGGACATTCGTCAGATAAATCCGAACAATCTACAACTCCATCACATTGTTGTAAAGTAGATATCCTCATGCTTTTATCAAAGCAGTGAAACAATCTAGAATGTCCATCTGTAGTTTTTCCTTCGTCTTCTTCGTTGTTGCAGTGAGTAAAGGAATCGGACACATGTCGTTGTGGAAGAACGCATATGTCACCTCCTTGTCCGAGTGGGCATTTGAACCCGGCCACGTGACGTATTTCATCCGAACCATCTCCGCAGTGATCAATTTTATCACATGCGTATTTTGTACTAATACATTTTCCATTTTTGCATTGATACGTTCCGTTTATACAGTCGCCGTTGTCGCAAAACTCCTGCCATGGCCAACATTCTGGCCTCTTTTTTCGGCAACCCCTCTCATCACTATAATCTCCACAAGAATCAATTCCGTCGCACACTCTTATCTGCGATAAGCATTTACCATTGCCGCAGTTATATTCGCCAAAATTACAAAGGAGATCAGTTGTAGAAGAGTTACTTTGAGGAGTAGTATCTGTTTGACAATTCCCCGGTAATATACCTGCATGTGATTCAAAATTTCAATTTTATTTTACCTTAATTCAAATAACATTTAAAGTTATAGCCTTATGTGAACATGGTATAAAATGTGTTCACAACTTGTAGCTTCGACGAAAGAAAAATATCTTAACAAATAAATATTTTTTAGCTTGCTATCGAAATATAAAGGAATCAAATAACACATATAGTTTAACTATTTTTTGTAACCAACTTTCATTAACATTTTTATGTTTTATGACGCTTATGCTATAAGCCTGATGATTTGGTTCAATAAGCATATTCTACAAAAACTTAAAATTAATTGCCGCCTATTATAGTCATATGAACACCTATGATTTTTCATTGCTGAAAAGAAAGAGCAAGCAATCTACTGAACTATCTAATTCTATTTCACATTATATCACGTCATGTGAAGTTACTTCAGTATCTTACCTTGTGTGCATGTTAATAATAACAAAAAAGCAAGTCGCATGTTCGTCTATATTTAGGATCTATTTTATTTCCAAGTAGCAAGTATTGATGCAGGTGAAATAACGTGAAATTCCAATAATATGAACAGTAAACTTTAATCTGAAAAGAACATATTATAGTAAATAAAATGTTAAAAAATATAATATATATATATTAAAAAATAATATTTCTTCATGTCACTGTAATAAATCATCGAAAACGGCATACTCGTATACACTAACTGAAATGAAATTTGTGGCTGCATGACGCGCGCTATACTGGAACTGTAAGTTATTTCGCATTGTTCCGAACTGTTATTTTGAAATTTATTATTACTTTAAAATAAAATTCTCAACATCAACCGAATGAAATACTAACAGGAAATCACTATGGTGTGATGAGGCTACTTCATATCAATTAAAAGATTCGAGTTTTGAATCATTGTTTCCCTCTTTTTATGACTTATCACTACGGTGATCATTCAGTTTATAAATAACTTTCAGCATTTATCAATTTTCAATTTTGTTACATACAAATTAATGTAGCATCTTAGGCTACAATAGCCAATATTTCACCATTAAAAGTGAATATATTGTTGCGCCTACAGCGGGGTATCATACACTGAGATTTTAGCACTTCTTCTGTTCAGGAATGTTACAACTTCAACTGTTGACTGTACGAACTACAATCATGAAGATTACGTCAACAACGTATTCAATATAGAGTTTGTCCAAATAAAAGTTAACAAAGAATTGGCAAATAAGCACGTGATCACGTGAAGCAAAATCTTTTGTCGATAAAAATGATCTCAACAAGTACGTTAAAAATAAATACTTGATTTGGAGATGACCTCAAAGTAAACGAATCTTTAGGCATTCAATCTACAATCCATGGATTTTTGGATGAAACAGATAAACTTTATACCTTATATATATTTTGGAAACTATTTTATGGCTATTAAATCGAAAAGATTATACTGAGATTTTATTTCTGCTGTGAGTGAGTGTTATAGCGCGTGTGGTCCACTGACCCCTGCTTGAAAACTTTCAATCTTAGAAATCGGCATAGTCACTGTATATGTAACCGTACTATAACTCATAAACGTTGCATCAACCAAAGCTGCACTTTTATAGCTTCTAAAGTCTAGCGGAAACCCATCATTCAGTTTTTATTTGTTAAAATGGGATACGCGTTACTTATCTACTATAATAATATATTTACCACGTGTATACACTCATATAATACGCTCATCCTATGACTACATGCACAAAGCAATTGGGTGCGTTATCAGTTTTCGGTTCTTATAAAATGACGTACGTACGTGCGCAACTTCCGAATAATATTGTCGGTGATAAAGCGTCGATGTATTTTTGTGAACTTAGTAAACCAAGAAAAAATATGATGTTTTTTAAAAGCCACAGGAGGGAGCTCGCGTGATATATTTTGATAAAACAAAATTGCTACCCACAACGACTCTGTCCCTTGCTCGTAGTTTTAAAAAAATTCTCCCATAAATATAACTAATGCGGTTTGGAATGAAAGTCTAATTTGAATGATAAATTTGGCATATTTTATCGTAACAAAATTAATTTTTAAACTTGATCCAAAAGGATTTCAATGACTACAGTGCGCTACATCTAAGACTGCTATGGGTATACAGTATATACGCAATGTTTAATGTAAGCAAGGTAAATGACAGATCTTTCCCAGAGTGATTTTGCTTCATACAAAAGCAATATTTGATGTGCTTAAATTGCAATAAAATATAACCCGAAAAATATATCGTGAGATATCTAGGAGAAATCAATGTTAAATAATATTTAATATTTAGAAAATTGCAGTAAAGCTCAAATTATAAAAAGCCCATTTGCGTCAAAACCGTTGATCTGTCTGTAAATTAATTGAAAGCATTAATTTCAGATTGTATTTCATTTGAAAAGTTAAAATGCTTCTGATGCTATATGAAATGTTGGCAACCTTGGTTTGCTACATTGTATGCTACATCGCTAAATCTCTCTTTTATGATATGAATTTATTAATATATTTATTTTGAAATATATTAACGTTTAGGCCTTTTTTGCCATTACAATAACGGTAAAATAACAATCTATCCAACTCAAGCAAAAAAATTACCAGGAGTAAAAACACTTAAAATTCAAATTAATCCAATCGACCCCACGCGGTTTTATGCATTATTGATGACAATTCAATGTTATTTTTATCGTAAGCCTGCTAAAACAGTCGAAAGCGATCCGGTCTGTACCGATCATTTGTACCTTAAACATCTAAATATTGGAAACCTCAGCAAAATGCTTAGGCCTATGACGTGGTTTTGAGGTTGTTGAGAACTTTTTGTAGTAATCAAAACTATTGCGTTATTATTGATAATTCGAATGAAAAAAAGGTACTTTTTACCGATTTTAATGCAACTTTTTCGCATTTTATCAAACATGGAAAATCAAGTATCGGAGCGGCGGTTCTTCTACTCTTCCTCAGGCTCGGAATTTTTCCACCAACATGACGAAATACATTTCTGGAAAATAATTCTTTTATATATTGATAGAATGCAACTGCGTTAGACAGCGAAAACAAACTTAATGAAAATCGTATTTTGAGGGCAGCGACGCGGACTTAAATCCGTCTTTCGAGGAGTCCCGCAACAATACGGGTTGTCTTACGTGTCAGCGAAAGCCGTAAGCTCGGGCTGCGCTCCCGACGGCTGGTTATTGATTTCTTCACGGTGAATCTTTGTCTTTCACACCAAATACCGCTGCGCTCATTTGCTGCTCGCCCGTGCCGATTTACCCGTTGAAGACAGGTGTGAATGGCAGGTTGGTCTCTGAACTGGGTGATGATGATTTCGCCACAAATATACAAAACGGGGTCGTTATATGAGGGGACTATGCTAGTTTATTTTTAACTTGTCTAGATAAAAGTTGATTTATAGTGTATACAGAACAGCTACAAAGTTTATTTATGATGTGACATCGTAAATTTTGACTTAACTCAGTTTCGCCAGAAGAATGGTTGGCAAGTCCAGTGCGAGATAAAAACTAAGATTTCAAAACAAGGAGATAGATCTAAGATACGAATTGCGGTTAGTGCGTTTAACCAAAAGTAGCAAAGGTTGTTTTGGGCAAACCTACAACGAGTACTCGGGGCGGCATTCCGTGCTAAATTGGTTGGAATCAGGTTCTAATACTGAATAAGTAACATTAAAGTATTTACAAACAACTATCATACCCACCTTGGATAATAGGACGAGAAGCCACTGTTCGACAAGTGCCAGCTGAAGGAGGGCCATAAAAAGCTTTTAGGCTCTCGAATCCTATTATAAATTTGCTGATAGGTATTCGTCCAAAATGTTTGCATATGATACAGTCCCCTACTCCGATATAGAGAGAGATAATAGAAAGTTTGAACGGACTAGGTTTGATGGGTAACTTTCTAAACTACACTCATACATGTTTGTGTACGTGTATGTTTGTTCGTTTTTAGTTGCTTTGCCATAGTATAAAGTTAGCAGCTTTGCCAAAGTGTATATAAGGTAGTTTGAAGTTTTCGATAACTTGACCTTCCAGAACGTGAATATGAATCTCAAGTAGAGTTGCGGTACAATCAGCGATATTCTGTGTACTGTGTGTATAACACATATCAAACTAACATCAGGCAACATTCTACTCAAAACATAAACTTTGAGGTGTTCGGGTTAATACTCTTTTCATTGGTGACTTTTTTTTAGAAATGTTATGCTGAGATTTGAATTTTGCAATGAAACGTGCCTAACTGACTGTTGCCTAACCCAGAATTCTCAAATCCAATTTATCTAGGAAGCTGTGTTTCAAATTAACGGTTCGCAGTATATATATATATGTACTGTTCCAGTTTATTCACTGGCGGTCGTTATGAGAGAACACCTTTCATCTTATTTATAAAAAAGGCATAAAAGTGGAGTAATGAACACTTTTGGCAAATTTTAAACTAAATTACTTTCATATGATGTAGCTTACAAATGGATGTTATCGCACGCAACCCCATCTAACTACCAATCAAGAAAAATGTTGAGGAAGTTGATCAATCCTACAAACTACAAACGCGATTTCTTTGAATGACGATACTTTAATTCTTTTATTTATTTATAATATTTTAATTAATCAGATTATCTCTTGCGTTTTTGCACCCGTTTACCCCGAACGGACATTTACTAGATTTGCGAGTAGTTCAAAATTCATTCTCTGCTTTAGTGTGTGATTGTCAACAAAAATACTACTTCAAAAACGTTTTTTCACGGATCTCCGTGTTTAAACTTCCCTCCCTCATACTGTTTCCGCGCGGTGTTTCAAAAAAATTGGTATATATTATTTGGATTATAATATATATTGGGGGGCAAATTGCTAAAGTGAATATATGAAGTGGGATTCGTGCTATGTTGTGGGTTAGGATAGATATAGTGATCTGGCAGTAGGTCATAGTATTCATATGACGTAAGGTTTATACACTTAGAATACATAATTTCAAGGCACCCCTGTTTCCCTGATATCTGCTGAGTTGGAGTCCCTCGTCACTACTGACATCGCCATAGCGCCAGTTGGTACAGCACCTGCGAGTCAATGGTTCTATGTTTTCTCGTAGATGCGTGCTCGATAAATATGGCCATAGTGTTTCTAAATTTTGATATCTGTATGCCCGGTAGACATCATCCACCTCAAATCAAGATTTCTCTCAGAGCATCTAACATATTCTTTCTGTTGGGGTTGTATAGAAAAATTATTTGGTAAAACAGTAACTGTGAAGAGGGTGGTGGTATTATTTTTCAGTTATTAAAACTAAATAATCCCTTACATATACATTGATTTTAATAATGTGATTGATGCAAATGCCTTTTTTCTGACAGCATATATATGAACAGTTTCAAAATTCTGATGTTTAAAAAAGTTCGAGAGTAATCAACGGAAAATGATTTTATTTTCATTACACCACAATCTCCCACAATTCCCCCTTAACTCACACAAAGAGGATTTTTAATCATAGCCTTTATAGTAACGTACTCATTGCTTCTGTATATAGTGTTAAAGGGTATAAAACAACAATTTATTTTCAAGATACCACGATAAATGA